AGTCCACCCACCTTAGCCTCCTAGGATTACAGGTGTGAACTACCACACCTGGCCTTGTTTATAATTTTTTTGAGTGTGATATTTCTTTTTTTTTTTAAGACAGAGCCTCGAGGTGTCCCTCTGGGTAGAGTGCTGTGGCATCACAGCTCACAGCAACCTCCAGCTCTTGGGCTTAGGTGATTCTCTTGCCTCAGCCTCCCGAGTAGCTGGGACTACAGGTGCCCCCCACAATGCGCCCGGCTATTTTTTTTTTAAGAGACAGAGTCTCTCTGTGTCACCCTTGGTAGAGTGCCATGGCGTCACAGCTCACAGCAACCTCCAGCTCTTGGGCTTAGGTGATTCTCTTGCCTCAGCCTCCCAAGTACCTGGGACTACAGGCAGCCGAGGCAATGCCTGGCTATTTTCTTGTTGCAGTTTGGCTAGGGCCGGACTTGAACCCACCACCCTTGGTATATGGGGCTGGTGCCCTGCTCACTGAACCACAGGTGCTGCCCAAACCCACGCTGTTTTTTTGTTGTTGTTGCAGTTTGGCTGGGGCCAGGTTTGAACCCGCCACCTTGGTATATGGGGCCAGCACCCTACTCACTAAGCCACAGATGCCATCCTCATTGGAGGTTTTTAAGCATTGGCAACCATATAGTCTGGTTTGCCACAATTAAAAGTTCCATAGGCTGTATTAGGTTGCCAGGGCTGCTATAACAAAATGCCCCAGACTGGATAGATTAAACAATAGAAATTGATTTTGTCATGGTTCTGGACATCTTGGAAGCAGGAAGTCCAAGATCAAGGTGTTGATTGGATTGGTTTCCTCTGAAGACCATAAGGAAACAATCTGTTCCAAGCCTCTGTCCTTGGCTTGCAGACGGCCACCCTCTTGCTGCCTCTTCATACGTTTGTCCCTCTGTGTATGTATCCCTGGTGTCTCTTCCCGTTGTCACAATGACACCAATCATATTGGATTAAAGTCCCACCTCAATGGCCTCATTTTAACTTAATCATTTTTTCTTTTACTTAAAACCATTTTATTTTATTTATTTATTTTTTGAGACAGAGTCTCACTTTG